CAAAGCAGTAATTATTCTGTAAAGGCTAGTTAAAAGTGATAAAGGATTACTTGTGTTAAAACACACATACACATTCTAGGCATAGGAAATGCCAAAATCTTGTTCTGCCTCAGTTTTATAGACTAGTAAATGAAATGGGCATAATGGATACCCACTTGCCCTAATAATCTACTGACAGCAACATGAACACACAAAAAGTAACCTGGTGATATGATGTTACCAGAAACTATTATAAGCGATTATGATAACTAAGCCGAACCTGTCTGGTTTAGGTGGAAGCCTACGTAGTGACTGAAGTTTATGAGCATCCTAAATGACCACTTCACAGGAGCCATTGATTGTTTTAATTAACTCATTATGTTTATAATGACACAAAAATGGGAACTCATATACAAACACATTTCCCTTTCATAAAGTAGTCAAATATCAAAGCATCAATGACTTTCTTTTATCAACTTTACAAATTCAAGGATATTTTCTACTGCTGCTTTCCTGAGAATCTGCCCTGAGCAAATTTCTAATTTTTTATCCTTTTTTAACCTGTGGTTTTCATGCTGGTATGACCATCCCAACTTTTATCATCTCTTCAGAGAGATTCTGCCCATGAGATTTTCAGTGGCTAATTCCTCAGAAGTGGACAGCCTATTCCTTCTTCATAGTATGTTCTTTGTCTGAAGCTCTGTTGAAATCTGTTCACTCCGAGCGAGCCCGCTAGTATTTGAAATACGGGTGATATAGCTCCCAGCAGCACAGCAACACACAAGGTGCAACAGTACACAAACTGACAGACAAATAAATAAATATTCACATAAACTGACAGATAAATCTGTAGCACAAGACCTCTTTATAGTGGTGAAAAGCAAACAGGTTTCATTGAGAACTAAGGTGCATCTGACCCAAGCCATGGTATTTTCAATTGCTTCATATGCATGTGAAAGTTGGGACATTGAAGAAGGAAGATAAAAAGAGAATGAATACATTTGAATTTTGGCGCTGGGGAAGAACATTGAAAGTACCATGGTCTGCCAGTAGAGCAAACGAATCTGTCTTGGATGAAGTACAGGCCGAATGCTCCTTCGAGACAAGGGTGAGCAGACTTCATCTCACACACTTTGGACATGTTATCAAGAAAGACCAGTTCTTAGAGAAGGCCATCATGCTTGATAAAGTAGAGGAGCAGCGAAAAAGAGGAAGGCCCTCCATAAGAGGAACCAACACAATGGTTGCATCAATAGGCTCCAACAAGAACAATTGTGAGGATGGCCCAGGACTGTGCAGTGCTTTGTTGTGTTCTGCAAAGCATCACTATGAGTTGGCACCAACTCGATGGCACCTAACACCCACCACCACCTCAGAAAGATCTTCTTTGATCTTCCGAGCTAGTGTTAGTCCCTATTTCTTTTTTATTGTTATTCGGGTTGTTACTTCCTACAACTTACTATGGAGCTCCTGAGAGGTGCAAAGGGTTAATATGTTTGACAACTGGTGAAAGGTTGGAGGTTTGAGTCTACCCAGGGGCAACTTGGAGGAAAGTTCTGGCAAACTTTATTTTTAAAAAAATCAGTCCTTCAAAATGTTATAAAACATACTTCTACACATGGGATTGCTGAGTCAGAACTGATTTGACAGCAACCTTTTCTTTTTTATGACTTACTACAATGAGTAACTATTTAGGTGATGTATTGTTTATTTACTGTCTATTTCAAATAGATTCTAAATTCCAGGTCAACAGGGACCTTATCTATCGTAATCTTACCACTGTATACTCAGTGACTACAATAGTGTCTGGCTCATATCCAAACTGTGAAAACAAAACAAAAGAAAACAAACTCCACTGCCACTGGATGCACTTCAACCCACTCTGACCCCATTTATGGGAGCAGATGCCCTCGTCTTTCACCAGAGGTGAGACTACTAAGTTTGAACATCTGCCCTTGAGGTTTGCAGTCCAAAGTTTACTTGACAGTGCCACCAGGGTGTCTCCTAGGTTCGTAGCAGGTAACCCAAAATAGTACGTTGAATGAATGGTGAAGGAGCTTTGTCCTCAAAAATAACAATAAAGTTAAATTCAAATGTTTAGCACCAATGTTTCAACTATCTATTTGGGCTTGTTGTTAAGTGCTACAGAGTCAGCCCCAACTCAGAACAACCCTAAGCACAGCCTTGGACCTGTGCTATCCTCACAATCATTGTTATATTTGAGCCATTGTTGCAATCCATTGTTGTCAATCCATCATGATGGTTTTCCTCCCTTTCATTGACCTTCCACTGCACCAAACATGATGTGTCTTTCCATTTGGGCTCATAACCTGCTTTTTACATCTCTGTATTATGTCTGTTAATAGATCTATAAATGCTTTCTCTCTCCCTGTAATGGCCTTCCTTCTACCAAATACCTAATTTTTTGAAACAAAAAAAACAAACAAAACAAACATACTGACATTGAGTCAATGCTGACCCCTATCAACCCCCTAGGGGTTTCTGAGACTGTAACTGCTTATGGGAGTGGAAGCCCAGTCTTTCTCCCGCTGTGATACCTTATTTAATCCTTTACAGACAAACACGTATATACATACATGCTTCCTCTACTAAGCTCTTATAGCGATATAGGGTTATGATATTAATAAAATAATAGTTAACTACGCCAGGTATAATTAATAAGCATTTATAAGTTCATTTAATCCACACAGCAACTCTAAGAGGTAGGTTCTATCTTAAGTACATACGTGTATGTTTCGTTAGTTATAATTAACCGCATGAAGACAATTCTGGGGTCTGAAAGTCTTGCTAATTCCTGGAACTGGAGCCCTGGTGGTGTAGTGGTTATGCACTGGGCTGCCATCTGAAAGGCTGGCAGTTCAAAACCACTAGCAGCTCCTTGAGAGAAGGACGAAGCCTTCTACTTCTGTAAACAGTTACAGTCTCAGCAACTCAAAAGAGAGCAGTTCTACCCTATCCTGTAGGGTCAACTATGATTCAGTATCAATCTGATGGCAGGGAATTTGGTTTTGGTTTAATTCCTGGTACCTACAAATGTCATAAGCCCTAAATATAAAAAATGAACTCTGACAGTAGTTCCTTGCTCTCTGACTTTACTTTGAAAATTACAATCCCAATCAATTGGAAGACCAGACAATAGTTTTAACATAATTATAATAATTTAATCTAAAAGTGGTACAATCTTGTCTAAGTGCAATATGAAATTTGAAGTTATAAAGAAAAAGGATTACTAGTTATATACAAAACTCGAGCTAATTGCCATCAAGTTATATATAAAGAATTCATAAATAGAGGAGGCTTGGTGTAGTAGGTTGTTGGGCTGCTATCCGCAAGTTCAGTAGTTTGAAACCACCAGCCCTTCTGCAGGAAAAAGATGAGGCTTTCTACTCCTGGGAAGATTTATAGTCCTGGAAACCCACCGGGACAAATTCTACTCTGACATATGGGTTCGCTTGAAATCAGAATCTGCTTGATGGCACTGAGTTTGGTT